CATTCCACCTCCTTCACCAACACCTTCACCAATAGCTGCACCACCACCACCATCACCACCACCACCACCAACATTCCACCTCCATCACCAACACCTGCACCACCACGAACGTTTCACCTCCACCTGTTGAGAGCCACAGCCGAAGGGGCCCCAGCAAACTTCCAGCTGCCAGCTGATTGGCTCCTCTGCAGTGATGCTCATTGGGCTGTTTCCCTGCCCTTTCAGACCACGGAGCTGCTCATTGGGGGACTCTTTTGGCTCCACCCATGCGACCCAGCCAATCGGCCTCAAGAGCAGGAGGAGTGGGAGGTTGAGAGGCTTGTGGGAAGCCGGTGGTGGCAGTTGGGCTCTGAGGGAATTCCTGAAGAACTCGCGTGGTGCGGCATGTGTGTGTTCTAAAAATAAAGTTCGTTTCTGCTTGATAAGTGGCTCGTGAATTGTGCCCAGCCAGACTGCGGCATCCACCACCACCACCAATACCAATAGCAGTACGAACTCCACCACCAACACCTATTCTACCAATAACACCAACACTTACACCTTCACTACTGCTATCACCAACAACACTTGTACCCCTACTACCACCTTTACCAAACCATTTCTACCTCATCCTCCCTCCACCATCACTACCTCTAGGCCACTTCCACCTCCACCACAGTCTCTACCTCCACCACCATTTATTTCCATCATGTCCTTACTGCCACCACGACCATCACCACTACCACACAAGATGGACAATCCAGATTCCTGACTCTGCTTCTTACTGTCTGCTGACAGGCAAAAGGCTACTGACTCGGAGTTCTGAGTGGGACACAGCAAGCCCAATTGTCAGAGCTTTGGGATCTAGGCACAACACTGGGGGGTGCACCCTCCTCCTCCCCACCTTGGGATCCCTCTCTGGAGGCAGTGCGACTCTGAGCAGGGTCATCTACACAGTAGGGAGGGGAGGCAAAGTCCACCCCGGGACAGGACCTCAGGGTGGCGGGGCCTTCCTGGCAGCTCCTGAGCGCAGCAGCAGTTCTCTGGCGGGGCAGAATGGCCGGCTCCTGCCCCTCTAGAGGCTGATGCCCACCCCCCACCAGGTGACTCACAGTTTTAACTGTTAGATCTTAGTCCAAACTTCATCGCACTGGACCAGAACTATTTTGTCATTTCGTGAGGGCCAAGATATCCGTCTGAAATGAGTAACAGCACATCCATTAGCACATGCCCATCACTCCTTGTCCAGAGCTGGCCTGCTTGTCAAGCTTCTGCCATGAGCATTTCCAGCTGAGGACACGGCCCTGGCCTTCCACCGGAGAAGCAGCCCTTCAGAGGAGCTGTCTGCTGAGGCAGGACCCGGCGTGTGGCTGGGATTCGGGTGGCGTGGACTGGTCTCCCCAGTCCTCTGCAGGGGCACTATTTTTGTATTTTGTTAGATGGAAGGCAGAGGCTCTGAGCCCCATCTTGAATACCTCCTGGTCTTCAGGAAACATCCTAGTTGTTCTGGTAGACTCTGGTGTAACCCAGGGCACTACTGAGTGCAGGAAAACCATCAGACTGGCCAAGAGTTCAGCAGCACAGAGACTCGACCCCAGCATGGGACTCCTCAGCCGGGGACCAAGACGGGGGTGTGTTGGAGAGCTGGCATGCTGTGGGACACAACCTGGGTGTCTGCATGGGTGCCAAGAAGGGTTAGATCATCTTAGAAGCAGGAGGCACAAAGCCCAAGCACGCATGCTAGAGGCCTCCTCGTATCAAAGGCTCCAGGAACAAGGACGGGTTCGATGCTGCACACATCAGAGACAGACACCTGTAAATACACCTGTGAACAGCAGCCACACACGTTCGTAGCCCTGTGTGGATGCACACCTGAGCAGGGCCGGGTGCCATGAAGAGGCAGGGTGAGCAGTACCGGTGACCTGCTTCTCACTTCTGTCTCCTCCTGTGCTTTTGACACGGATCATTTTTGTGATCCCTCCTGTGCCTCTGGCTTTTCCCTTTCCTCTTTCTTGGGGTGTTTTTCCTCCAAAACTTCCTTGAATAGTTGGAGTGCTGAAATTCAGGGCCCCTCGCATGAGACAGGACCGTGTGCAGGAAACTACTAAGCAGTCAAACGATGACGGGGCAAATGCTAGGAGCCTGGGCCTTGTAAATAAGAGACAGGGCTGGGGCTCAGGCACCAGAGGCACCATGGCCCAATGAGCAGTCCTGCAGGATGTAGGCTGGAGTGACCCCTGTAAATGTCAACAGAGGAGACCTGCTGCGTCCCCACGGGTGCTGAGGGGCGTTGCTCCTGTGGAAGCTGTGCTTCTGTGGAGGGTTTGGCCCCTTCCCTGCCCCAGAGGCTGCTGATGGAGGGTTCTTCAGCCATAAAGCAGATGCACCTGTCCTCTCCACAAGCTCCTCTGCATCATGCCGTGCAGCACCTCATCTTCTGCTACCACCTTCGGATCTCTTTTCCTGCTGTGCCTGCCACCAACTTTATGAGATGGCTCTCAGGATCTCAGGGACCTATCCGCCCACCCCAGGCATCTGATGGGGCCCCTCTACCCAGCCTCCCCGACACTGTCCCCATGGGCCTCTTGCAGCCCTGAGCCCATTTTTGGGTGAGGCCTCTGCCCACAGGGCTGTGTACTCCAGCCCAGCTGAGGTGAGGCCATGCAGCCTTTCTCAGAGTCTGCGGCCGAGTCACCCCATGATGGTCTTCTCCAGGGGTCTCACTGGCTATGGGGTGACAGGACTGTGCTGATGCGGCCCAGCTGCTCAAGACAGTATGAGGGGAAGCCTCTAGCCCAAGCCGCGCTGACCGAGCCTCCCAGTCAGTGGGGTCTGTGCACCGTGGTGATCACCAGTGCAGCCGCAGGGCAGGACTCAGCACTGTGTCTGGGGCAGGGGCTGGCTCTGGGGGGTAGCCCTGAGGCCTGGGTGTGAAGGCGGCCCCCCACACGGGGCACAGGGTCTGAGGGAGACAGAGGAGGAGGAACCAAAGACTTGGAGCAGGGAGCTGAGGGCTGTTTGAGAAGGAGGTGACCCCAGGGTCAGCAGGCCCCTCCAGATCTAGGCTGTCCCTGGGAAGGGCTGAGATGTCACTCCCTGCTGTCCCTGGACACCCACAAGAGCCCACAGGGAGGAGAATCTGGCAGTATTCAGCGGGCAGACGGGGGAGTTGAGGGTGCCCCTCAGGGACTCAAGGACTGGGTGGGGAAGGGGATGCCCTGGGGTAGAATGTGAGGTCGGTGCCCCCATCCTGCCCACGTGTGCACAGGCATGGTCCCTCACCCTAACACTCCCCTGGCCCTCTTATGATGCCCCAAGCGCCACCCCCTGAGACCCACCTGTCTTGGGTCTTTCCGAAGGTAGATATCTCCCGAGAAGGAGGTGTACCAGGTCCCAGTGGTGGGCAGGGCTGTGGAGGACAGGGGGGCTCACGGCACTCACCATGGCCACCCTGGGCACGCTCTAGAGGATCCCATGCTGGAGCCCCACCTGCATCCCAGAACGTTCACGCGGTTGTCCTCTGTGGGAGCGCAGTTCCGTGGTCACTGTCTGCGTTCAGGTGAGGTTCTCATTGGGTCTAAGCTTGCAGACCCTGGATGCAGCCACAGTTAACTTCGCCAGGAAAACCTAAACCAAACTAAATTAAAAGTAGGACATCAGTTTCTCAACCCCAGCCCCTGCGCCACCGCATCTGTGAACTGGGTAGAGTGACCCCCAACACCACAGGC